GCAATAGGTCAAATAGTTTATAATTAATATAAGCCTCTGCATGGTTATGTGGGACTGAATGACTGCGGGACTGGGTGGGACAGAAACATCTGTCTACAAGGGCATGTGAATTAATGTCCTTCTTTTATAAGAGAAAGAAACTGAGACTTAGGGCACCTAACTTGTTCAGGACAGGAATAAAGGTAATCTCTAATTTTACTCTTCTGCTCTTTTCCTCCCACTCCTGCCCAGACCACCAGGAAGCAAGATGTAACCTGCCAGCTGAAAAAGGTACTGAGCCACATGGCTAGTATAGATAAGAACAATGGGTTAATATCATTTACAAGAGCTAATAAGTAGCCTGAGCTAATGGGCCAATCGGTTTTATAACTTATGAAAATCTCTGTGTGATTTTCTTTGGGGCTTGCCAGCTGTGGGGTACCGGGCAGGACGGAAACCCCAACGAGCAGGCCCCCTCATGTTACACTTGGGAGGCAGAGGTAGGGAGATATCTGTGAGTTTGAGGCCAGCCTGGTCTACAAGTTCCAGGACACTCAGGACTGTTACACACACACACACACACACACACACACACACACACACACACACACACACAAAACCTGTCTCAAAAAACCAAACCCAATGAAACCAAACCAAAACAAAATTTCTATGTAATGTAATATTCACAGATTCTAGGAGTCAGGAAATAAGTATTTGGGTTATTGGTGGTAATGGGGATTATTCCGTTTACTACAAAGACTATCCTTGACTCTGAATTGGAAGCCTGGGAAGATACGTACTACTGTGTGTCTGAGGGCACAGAGACACAAGGCAGAGAGAAGAGTCAAGAAACGCTCCTTAGTGGCTCTGTCTACGGAGAATGAGATACACCTGAAAGGTTCCGTCTAGCCACCTAATCTTGGCAGGGAAGAAAACTATAGTCCAGTCTCCACATGCTCATACTAAACGCTTCAACAATACTTAAGTGTTTATTATTGGTGTGTGCATGATGGGTGTATAGGCATGCATGCGATGTGTCTTTACAAAGAACCTATGGCATTGGGTTTCTCCTTCCACCTTTGCTTGAGTTCCTAAACTCAAGGTGGGGAGGCTTGTATGTAAGCACCTTTGTTGCTGTCCTCAACACTGCTGAACTTGTCGGGAGATTAGAATAGTGAATTTTCAGATGCCTTTTTCACAATACAAAGAAAAACATTGCTATGAGTGGTGAAACTGTTCTAAAAAAAAAAAAACTTGAAACAAAGGACTGGAGAGACGGCCCAGAGGTTAAGAGCACTGACTGCTCTTCCAGAGTCCTGAGTTCAATTCCCAGCAACTGGCTCACAACCATTTACAAGGTGTTTCAGTGCCCGCATCTGGTCTGCAGTACAGGACACATGGAGGCAGAACACTGTATACATAATAAATAATCATAAAAAAGCAACTAATACTCATCCTATGGGCTTGCCAAAAGTTGCTGACAACTCTGCTGTTTTCAGTACCCTGCCTCCACACATCAAATGTTACCACTGCAGTGGAGGATGGTACTAAGCATACTGGGGAGGCAGAGGGGATCTCTCCTCGTGTCAAAGATAGTTAATGGACAAGCAGTGAGCAGAATTTAGCTGTCCACGTGACTTCCTGTTGTTGCTCGGCAGTATGCGTTTCATGCATTTTAAACAATATTTTTATTAATTCTTTAAGAATTTCATCCAAGCCGGGTGGTGGTGGCGCACGCCTTTAATCCCAGCACTCGGGAGGCAGAGGCAGGCGGATCTCTGGGAGTTCGAGGCCAGCCTGGTCTACAAGAGCTAGTTCCAGGACAGGTTCCAAAGCCACAGAGAAACCCTGTCTCGAAAAACCAAAAAAAAAAAAAAAAAAAAAACCAATAAAAAAGAATTTCATCCAATATATTTTGAATACATTCACTGCCTCCATTCCCCAACTCTTTCCATCACCACCCTCTCCACTTTTCTATCCCTTCCCACTCAACTTTGAGATTTCTTTTTCCCCCTTATTTATATTTTTTAATCGTTAGAAAATCTTAGAGTGGGTTGTTTCGTAAATACAGACTAAATTAAAGTCTTCTAGGATAGTTCTCTAGTGTGGGTCCTCCAGAAAAAAAAAATACAATGGTCAATAGCTACTTTTAGGGACTTGTATTCATTACTCTTCTTTGTGACACTGCCATTTAAAAATCAGCAACTTAGACAACAAACAGTTGCCATTGTATTCTGTGTGTTTCACTTCCGAAGGGTAAGCATGGCATAAATGGAAAAGACAAATAAAGCTCCCTCGGGTCAGCTGGTTAGAGTCTAAAATTAAACCATGAGCAAAATGCTTAGGGTGCAATGTTCATTTTGTTCTGAGCTAGAGCTTTTGCCTTGCAGGACAAAATTTGTTATACTGATTTGCTTCTTTTCATTTGTCTGTGGAAAACACCTGATTCTTACACAGCTCTAAAACTTCTGTAGTACTTGAGGGGGCGGGGAAACAAACCTCGCTGAATATTGTGTGCCAAGAGTAAGTCATCTGTACTAGGCTTTCCTGGTATGCACTATGAATGCCGCTTATCTCAAACACCAGCTCCTTGGGAAAACACCCCTGAGACCTTGTCTCTCCATCAGAGCTGTAAGGGTTGCTCATTTTATGACCCAGACACTCCCACTTTGTGCTGAGGTGACCACTTTATGAACTTGATGACATGCCAAAAGAGACTTTTTTTTTTTTTTTTTAAAGAAAAATCATCATAGGATTGTATGGACTAAACCCTTGTCAGGAGTACTGGAATGGTCTGTGCTGGTCTGTGCTGGACTAATGAGGCATGGATGTAAATTGTTCCTCCAAACAATGCTTGACAAACCCCTGTAATTCACTTACATTTTCTCTTTTTAACCCTTCAAAGGACCTTCAAACCCTTTCCAAAGGGGACACATTGTAACATTGTATATTCACCACCATCTGTGCTCCTTGAATTGCAATTCTAAGACCTTCCAATAAACACTTAAAACCTCATCTGCCCTATTTGGATGGAAATATATATTGAAAGTATCAAGTAAATATTCCAGTTGGATTTTACTGAAGCAAGTGAATGTAAGATGGACGGCTGGGTAGTATATTAGTAAGCTCAGAAAACAAGCCAGCAAGCAAATGCCTGAACAGTCAACCACCCCGCAGAGCTAAGAGACTTTCTGGTCCGATCACAAAACTTGGAATATGGTCTGAGCAGTAATGACGGGAGGGAACGGTTGTTTTCTTAGGTTTGGAAATTCTATTGTGTGTAGGAAACCAGAATCTTTCTTCTTACCAGAGTTGGTTAAACGATGTATTTTGATATGTGGAACTTCCTCAAACAGCATAAGAATGAACATCCAATTTTGTCTATATAAAATGTTTTCACAGCATAAGGGCAAGAAATGGCATATTTAAAGTCCCTTAGCAAAGGACACTAACAAGGCATCAGAGCAGTAGTTTCAATTCTTCCTTTGGGTTTCTAGTACTGTCGTGTTTTTTTTTTTTTTTTTTTTTTTTTTAATTTTGCTGATGCACGCCAAGTGTTACTGAGCCCCACTCAGGTACAAAGGAGCTGTTATTAAATAATAAAGGAGCATATATTAAACTTAAAACAAACAAAACAAAAAAGCCGATCAGTTTCAACTATAAGCTACCCAGAGGCAAAAAAGTATAGAGCAGCATGATGTTCTGTAGTATTAGATGGTTATATATTCACTGTCTAAAGGCATTATAGTTTGGCTTGCATTTTCCTATCATAAGTGTACCAGTGCCTGGTGTTTCTTTTTCCTTTTTGCCAATACGGTCTCAGATAGCCCGTCTGGTTCTGGTAGATGCACATATCCCAGAAAAGCTTTCAGAGTTTGTTGTTTTGTGTTTTGTTTTTCACTCATCCACTCATTACTGAATCCTATATACCTTTGTAGGTTACTTCTTGAAATAATTTCAATCAATTAAGAAATACAGTCACAATTTTATAATGTTTGGGCCTTACTCTGGGATTTCAGAAAGCCTTATATTTAGTAATGAGTTGCATTTACCAGAAGGCTGACATAATTCTAGACGTAACTGAGCACAGAAGGTGGGCACCGTCGACACTCAGTAGTTAGTTACTACAGAAAACTAAAACTAGTGCCTCTGTAACCAGGCCCTTCAAGTCAAAGTCCATGCTGTACCCTTTGGCCAGCCGGATCCCGCTGGTTTTAGCAACCGACTCTGAGGTCCAGGAATGCGTCCACGTGACCTCTGGTGCAGGGCTCAGAGCCAACCTGGCAGTGGTCCCAGGGCCCAGCCTGTGAGTTCAATCGCCGTGCTCACTTTATCAAGATGACCTGGAGGCCCCGGCGACTCCGCCCGCGGGGCAGAGGGTGACACGGGGTGTGACTTGGCTGCGGCGGTCGGGGACCGCGGCCAGCACCGAAGATGGCGAGGCGGCGCGCGCTCAGGCGCTGCGTGCAGCTCTTAGCGTCCTCGGCGGAGCTGGAGTGGCGGGGCCGAGGGCGGAGGAGCGCGGGCGGAGGGCGTCTGGGCATCGCCCGCGGCTCCGGGGCGCGCTGGCCCCCGGGATTAGCGACCTCAGCCGGGGAGACGCCACGCCGGGCGCGCCCGACCGCCCTAAGCGCAAGGTGAGCCCGTCCTTCGCCCCGCCCCTCGCGATCTGGCTCCGCCCCTCCAGCCTTTGCTCCACTCGCCCCGTTTCTAACCCCGCCCCTCGCGAGCTGGCCCCGCCCTCAAGCCTTTGCTCCACTACGGCGCCCTCATTAAGTCCCGCCTCTAATCCCGCCCTTCACGAGCTGGCCCGCCCCATCTCCCCTCCACTCCGTTCCCCCTCTAACCCCGCCCCTAGGGAGCTGGCTCCGCCCCTCCAGCCTCGGCTTCACTGTTCCCCCTCTAACCCCGCCCCTCGCGATCTGGCCCCGCCCCTCCAGCCTTGGCTCCACTCCGCCCCGCCCTCTGACCCGTTCCCGCCTCTAACTCCTCTCCTCGCGACCTGGCTCCGCCCCCAAGCCTTCGCTTCACTCCGTCCCGCCTCTAACCCCGCCCTTCAGCCACGCCCCCGACATGGCCCCGCCCCCTGCGCTGCGCGCCGCCGGGAAGCCTCCCTGCAGTTATCTTCAGGGGAGGTGGTTTCCGGGGCTGCGGTTCTCCTCGGCAGGTTCGCGCCTTCGTCGCGGTATCGGTGTGGAGCAGCCTTTCCGGGGCTGTTTGGACAGCTCGGAGCACAGCGGGTTGCGATAGGTTTCCACTCCCGAAGTCCTGCCTCCTCCTGGGGATGCTGCACTTGTGAGTGGCAGGCTTCTTTTGAATTACCGCACCTCAGGAGTTGCGGCGCCTGCATCTCCGGAGCCGCTGGGGTGAAGAGCCACCGTGGTTTTAGTCGTCTAGGGGAGAGTCGCCGTATTTGGGACCTCAGATCCCGCCGTTCCTGCATTCCAGGTTGCAGCTCTACGGTACGAATTCAAGTGGGGGGTCTCTTCGTTTGGTTACACGTAAATGAATGGGGTCCACGACTGAGCAGAGCAACTTATTTCGGCTCCATCTGTAGTAGTCACCTTCCAAAATCCATCCCCAAAGCATTCTTGCTTTTTTTTTTCTTAAAGTAAATGTAACTTATTTAACCACAGAATGAGCAAATGCAGGAGGCAGGATGGGGAAGGGTGGCGAGAGTCGATGTTTTTTCCATTTTGTGCTTGCTTCTTCGATTACTGGAGGCGGTTCAGATGGTCTCCCCTTCCCAAGGAGCGCGGTATGACCCTGGTGGTATGAATATACTTTCACTGTCTCCAGATGAACCTGGATGATGTGTGACACTCAGTCGGACCCAGAAAACGTTAAGGGAAAGACAACAGTCAAGAGTCTCTAAAGAGCCGGGGACTTCTTGCTTTGCCCTTACTGTAGGGTGCTTTATAAATTGTGATACCATGACTTGGGTACTTTTGGCTTAGCATGAAATCAGAAAGTCACTCTTGTGACACACACTGCTCTGTAAATTAATAAATAAAGTTTATTAACAGATGGAGGTGTAACAGTTCCGTTTCTGTTTTGTCACATTGGGTAGGAGTTACTGGTTACAATATGGCTTAGAAAGAAGTTACATAACATCAAAAGAATGATTATCTGGATCTTAGAGCAGTCTGTATTTTAAAACACTTTTGATTTTTGTTGTAAGAAAATATTAGCTTTGTTAAAGAATTTTAGGGCAAGTTTGTGTGTTTAGAATCAGAATCTAAGAGGGATTGAGGGTTTAAAACGGGTTTATGTCAACTTGGAAATATAGCCATACTCTTCAAAGGTTTGGTTTTGTTAACGTTTCTGCAGACTTGCTAGCTTCATGAATTTATAGCAAGTGTCCAAGTGACAAAGTGTCTCATGCCTTTACAGTGCCGTTTACAGTTCCAAATGGACTGGACAGATTCTACATTCCAAAACGGAGTCTTAAAATTTGTCCAGTATGACTGTTTGAAAGACATTTTACCATAAGCAGTCCATCATAAGGTCTGGGTTGTTTTATTTGATAAGACTTTGGTTATACTTCAGTTGGCTCCTCATCCCTGTTTGTTTGAAAGAAGTCTTATGTTCCTTTAGATAGTCATTTAGAAAGCCAGGGGATTTTTTTAAATGGAAATTTAGTTTATGTTTGGAATTCATATTTGACTTTAAATTTGTTTTCTCTTTGTGCTTTTTTCCTCTCAATGGTGCCTGACTATAGTCAGTTTTCCCGTTCTTTTTCACTCTGTGGGATTAAGAATGTGGCTGCGTGGAGCGCCCTGCATGGCGGGGTGTTTAGACTGAAGCACATGCAAGTAAAATGTGTTTTAGTTGAAGTATTACCAGGGAGATGAATTGTGCTCTTTTGTTAAAGATCATTGAAAACCTATAAAGGCATATGTCAAATTGGCATAAAAATCAATTCCAGCGATTGCCACTGTAAGGTTCAAGTAATCTTTCCTTCTAATTCCTGCTTGTCTATAACTTAGTGCTTTACTTGACATTTTTTTAATGTAGTAATTACTGATTATGTATTTATTTTATTAATTGATGATTATAACAGATTATATATATTTTTGGATGGCCCCAAGTATATATATACAGTAGACATACACTGTCTATTGTCAACTAACTAACAATATAAAATAATTATTATAACTTAATCATTTTTCAAGCTCTTTCAAGGTGCTTTAGGCCAACAAGTCAGGTCCAGGTTAGACATCTGAAGCAGTCAAGCCAAGATAGCTCAGTACAGGTTACAACACTGCACCCTCAACTCCCAGCACTCGGGAGGCAGAGGCAGGCGGATCTCTGGGAGTTCGAGACCAGCCTGGTCTACAGGAGCTAGTTCCAGGACAGGCTCCAAAACCACAGAGAAACCCTGTCTCGAAAAAACAAAACAAAACAAAAAAAAAATTAAAAGTTGGGAATAGTCACTATCATTGGCTATGAAGGCGTAGGACTACAGTTAGATGGATCAGCATAATTCAGAAGTGTGATTGGAAAGCACTTCTTACTGCTGGGTGTGGGAGCGCATGCCTGAAATCCCAGGGCTTGTGAGTAGGCAGCTAGGCTTGGTTACACAGAAAGTTCCAGGCCCGCTTGGGATACTAGTAAGACTGTATGACAAAAAGAAAGGGGAGAAGGGAAGGGTGAGTTCGGCTCGGCACGTTGGACACCTCTTTCCTCTTTATCGGGGCAGGTTTTTGTGTTTTATGGAGTTGGGACCTTCCCATATTAAGGAGCACCGACATACAAACAGTAAATGTCTGACAAATTCTGTTTGATTTTTGTAGTCCTCCTCAGTTATATGAATAAAGTTGTGAGGGTAAAGAGACACTTGGCTTTCTCGTTGTTATTAACAGTCCGTACACTGATTCTTGTCAGTTTTACTCAGCAGACCCCTGCCCTGCAGCTATTTGATGACCACAGAAATTTGTTTTGGAAGTTAACTTTCTGTGTTTGAAGTCCCTTTGCTTAACCTACAAAGACGTTTGTTCTTTTATTAAGTGTGTGTTTTAGCTTGCTTAGAGAGCTCATGGAAAGCTAAATTTCCTTCTTCCACTGTAGTAAAAGTAACTAATAAAAGATTGAAGTATCTGGCTTTAAATTCGTTTTTTCTTTTTAACTAAACAGAGTCCCGAACATGATGTAGAACATGCTTTTTCTCTCCCCTGTCCTGACCCTCTTCTGTGAGCGCTGCTCTAAGGATTTTTAGGTGACACCTAGTCTTGCTTATCTGAGGATAATGAAGGGGAAGCATGGTTAATAGACAGTCTAGACTCCTGGACAGATCCAGACTCTGGGAACACCATACGACTCTATGGTCTGACTGGCTCTGCCTGTAAAAAGGTCACACATGCGATGGTTCTTATCATGGGATAGAGAGTCGAATGGGAAGGAACCCTGGAGAGTAGGGACTTGGTTCAACTTCTTCAGCTTGCAGGTCTACTTCTCTCCTAAAAGCTGAGCTTTTATGACATCTCAAACCTGGGCTGTTACCATTTCACAGAGGTGATCTGCTTTAGTATTGTTGAGGGAATGTTGATTCCTTCAGCTTGGCTTGGTTTTCTACGTAAACATTTTATCTGTTGTATGTACATGTGTGCTGTTTGTAGCCTGTTGATTTTTAAATGGGATTAATGCTGATGCACATACGTTGAGTATCCTTCCAGTGAAGAATTTCACCTAATAAATTTTGATGTTCTCAGCAGCATGGTTATGCACAGCCTTGTAATTTCTTTTTGCATGGCCGTTCAGATATTTTCAGCTCATGCGGAAATGGTTAAGACAGCCTTTTACCTTCGATTTAGTGTAAGCGGCCACACTTGGTAAACTTTGTTGGCTACAAAGGATGCATTTGTGTTGTTGAGGAGGAGGCGTCAACATTGGAAGAACCAGGGCTTTGCAGAATTCGGGGCTCTCAATGTGAATAATAGGAAGTTTCCCAAACTAAATACAGGCTCCCTGCCTGGAGATGTCTTTCTGTGGAAGGATAAAATGCGGGCTGAGCTTACGACATCTTTTCAAAGCAAGGACAGTATCTTCAGGGCACTGTGTACATTTTCTTTTCATATGACCGAAACACAGAATGTTATTACTTATTTGTTAATGAATCATTGATCATCAGTTGATGTGTATTTGTATAATTTCAATTCAGAACAATTAAGTAATTAAAGTAGTATAATTTGAAAAGCATCTAAGATTAAAAGAGTATTTTTTCTTTTCTTAAAAATTTCTTTAATTTTATTGTATGTGCTTTGTTGTGAGGATGTCAGATTCCCTGGAACTGAGTTACAGACAGGTGTGAGCTGCCATATGGACGCTGGGAATAGAACCTGGGTCCTCTGGAAGGGCAGCCAGTGTTCTTAACCACTGAGCCATCTCTCCAGCCCCCCGAGTAATTTTCTTTCAAGGAGCTAGTGCTTAATGAATGTCAATTAAGAGCTTCTTACTTTGAAAAAACAGTCGCATTACTGAAAGACAATAAGGTGAACCTGTGTCTGTGTCAATACTGGTAACTCGTGAGCTGTTGGTTCTATTAGATTTAGCTTAATTGGTGGAAAGCACAGACTTCGGGGTTTGATCAGCGTGGATTATCCCGAAAGTCAGCTCTTACTAACATCTTGACTTTACGCAAGCTGTTGGTTGTTGTTTTGTAAGCTCTCCTAAACTTTCTAGATATGGCAGTTGTATTGGGGCATTTTGGAAAGTTGTTTGAATATGTTTCTCCTCCACATGGAAGAAGTGGAAGACTGGCCTGCTTGGACAGTGTATTTAGCACCATTCCTCGGTGTGGGCTCCAGGAGGCTTCCCATAGTAAGATCAGGGAGGACTCAGGGAGGATCAGGGAGTGATTTCCTTTCTCTTCAGCAGACTACTGGACCGGTCAGAACATGACCAGCATGGCCATCCCTTGCTGGAAGGCTGAAGATGGAGCTGCTCAGCTGGTATTATACCCTAAGCAAAAGAGGGGAGATTGGATTTTATGGGGGACTCTAACCTCTTAGCTGTTCCCCATGACTTTTTCACAGCTAATTGAGTATGTGGGAGTGCCCTCTGTTGACTTAAGTCTCTCTGTCCTTTACTTTCGCTTCCCTCTTTGATTCCACAAATGTTTGCTGAACACTCAGCACTTGTGAATTGCTGCTAGGCATTGTAACAAGCAATGTGAATTATTACTGATCTTTCCCCGCCCCCCTTGGCTTGGTTCCTTGGGAGCAGAGCCAAATTAGAGACTCAAGTGAGCTGAATCTGAGTCTGTAACTTATCGAACTTTATAGGTGGCAAGGTGGCCTTTCTACTCTAGTAACAGAATTATGGCATTTATGTAGGGCAGGGTGTGTGACTGTGGAAGAAGCCACTCATGATAGGCACCCGCAAAGCTAGCCTGAATTCTAGCACTCCAGAGAGACCCGCGGGACCTTCCTAAGTGCCCGAACCCCTGAGTACAATCGTGGTT